CCCTAGCCATGATTTGAGCAAGAATTGTGCAGAGAAATTTTATATATATATATTTATGTGCTTGAATGTTGAGTATTGTTGATGGAATTGATATTGAATGATGGTTAGAATTCCCCCTTGAGAAGTAGTGTTTAGTATGAGATGAATTGGTGGGAGTTTGAAGAAGTTATGAAAGAGTTAGAATAGAATTTTGAAGTATGAATTTCCTGGCCAGGTTTGATGATGATTTTAGGGAGCTTTGCTCCAAATTTTGGTGGTTAGAAGTAGATATGGAGATGTAATCACCTTAGTGCTTTGTTTGTCCATACAAAGTGTTTGATGAAATTTCAAAGAGAAGTGCATGTATGAGTATGTTAGTTCATTATTTTGATATGAGTTTGTAGATGATAGAGAAAGTAGAGAATGACATGTTTACATGCCATATTGCATTCTTGCATTTAAACATTTGAATTTAGAAAGAATAACAAGAAAAAGCCCATCTACATGTATACATGCATATAAGAACACTAAAGAACAAAGAGAAAGAAAAGAAAGTTACTAAAGAAAAGAAAAGAAATTAAATACAAAATTTCTAAAAGAAAGATAAGAGAAAAGAAGGTTGTTACGATGGGGAACCCATGAGTGGTAAGAAGAAGAATATTTCCACATGCATGCCGCCTTTAGTGAGCAGCCAAAGAATAAGAAAGAAGAATTTGTACAGTTCATAAGAAGTGCATGTGGATGAGGACTGTATCCAAAAGAACATACCTTCATGCATACCGCCTTTAGTGAGCAGCCTAAGAATAAGAAGAAGAATTTGTACAGTCCGTAAGAAGTGCATGTAGATGAGGACTGTACTCACTCACACGGCCAGGGTTCCGAATCCATACCTCAACCGAGTCCGATTGGCAAACAAGAAAAGAAAAGAAAGAAAGAAAGAATAGAAAAGAAGAAAAGAAAAGAAAGAAAGATTAGAAAAGAAGAAAGAAAAGAAAGAAAGAATATAAAAGAAGAAAAGAAAAGAAAGACATAATAGAAAAGAAGAAAGAAAAGAAAGAAAGAATAGAACAGAAGAAAGAAAGAAAAGAGAGAATAGAGAGAAAAGAAAGAACAGAAAGAAAGAAAGAAGAGAAACAAAAAGAAAGAAAGAAAGAAACACAGAAAAAGAGAGAGAGAAAACAGAAAAGAAAATGCATCTCTTATGCATTTGTGCATATGCATTATGCCATTTCTATTATTTAGAATTAGTTTCCCTGTTTGAGCTTACATGTTAGTAAGTGAGAAGCAAAAATTCTAGAAAGAACAGAGAAGAATAGAGAAGTTAATGTAAGGAAAGAAATTTAGGATACGAGTAACGGAGGAAGAAGAATGGTATAACAGATTTACCTACTGAGCAATTAGTGCTCACTCCATTGATTTCACTATTTTTACAGGTAGAAAGTGAGAAGCGGTCGGAGGGAACGTCGAGAAGCGGTCGGAGGGAACGTCAAGAAGCAGAAGAGAATGGCACCACTGTCCAGCTGTATTTTGAGTTTATGTATATGGTTTTCCTACTTGATGTAGAGAATTTATTTATAAAGTAAAGTTATTTTCTGGGCCCACTCTCTTGTACTTGTATACATATATGTTTCCTATATCATATTTAGGGGTTTCTTATTATATATTTTTCGAAATATACTAGCTAGAAAGAGTTATTATACAACATCATATAACAATAACATTCCTAAAGGTGGAAAAATAACCCGCCTGGCTCGACCCATGGCGGGTTAAGCAAAATTGTGGGCTAGGCCTAACCCAACCTGCCAACAATTCGGCCCACCTCTTTGGCCAAAGAATTGGCAAGTTGCCCAAATTTTTTTTTATTTTTTATTTTTTTCTTTTGTGTAATTTTTTTTAGTTAACTTTTCAAATATCAATAATTCAATTAAATTAATTTTTTTTGTTAACATTTCAAATATTAATTCAATTTTAATGCACTTAAATTGTAGTATAAGAAAAATTAGATTTATTCATTTATCAAAAAATAAAATAAGAAATAAGAAATTACAACAATTATTGTCTCGTTAGAAACCTTACCAAGGAAAACCTAATTGGGACAAAAACTTGGTAAAGAAAAAAAAGTGTAATAATTGACAGTTAATTTACAAATTACAAAGTTAAAATTTACAAAACAACTAATTTGAAGGTTGAGTAGGATCTCTCTCATCTGTATCATCTAAATTACAAAATTGAAATGATTCTATTAAAGTATCGTCGACAACCTCGTATTGATCCCAATGGCGCGACTGTTCCCAATCTCAAAGACATATGAGGACTTCAATCATTTTTTGTGAAAGTTTAGTCCTCTTGTCATTTAAAATTCTTTCACTTGCATTAAATGTTTGTTCGGATAAGATGGTTGAGACAAGAACAGAGAAAATATCCAGGGCAAGTCTTAATAATATCGGAAAAATATATTTTCTAGTTTTCCAATATTTTAAGACATTAAAGTTGGCTCTTTGTTGTGAATCTGTTGGTAGCACGTCGGGGTTCCCAAATATTGGTGAAACTCAATACTCTGTAGCTGCATGGAGGACAATACATTCGTTGTTGATGCTTTTGAAGTGGAGGCTATGCTTCGGGTTTGGGTCCTCTTCGACCTATTAAGTGCACTCTAGGAGTCGAAATCTTCGTTCTGATGCTACTTCCTCGGATATTTTGCCTTTTCGCTAGTTCCTATACCTGTTTTTATATTGCAAATATACCTCTGCAAGACACTCTATTATCTTTCCTAGTTAATTGGCATATGTTTTGTCTCGTAAATTTTCATTTAACGTGTCTAAACCATTTTCTAAATGCGCTAATTTAATTCTATGATCAAATACAACAGCTAAACAATAAGGACAAGGAATTGGTTTCCATTATTTTTTAAATTTTAATTCCATTGCCTCTATTGGTCTTGCTAAAATTTCATTGTTTCTGTTTTTTTTTTTTTAAATAAATCTAAAATTTTTATAATTGTATGCATTACCAATAGACTAATAGGATAATACACACCAGAAAGTTGTAAAGTGGGTTGATAAAATTTTTTAAGAAAAGAATGAAATTTTTTAGCTATATGCCAATCACTGTCTATCAAATAACGAGGACCCCTATTATTTGCCACAAATAACTAATTAAATTTGCATAAGGTAAATATGAATCAAGTATTAAATAAGTATTATTCCATCTAACTTGCATGTCTAATGCAAAAGTTCTAGGAGACATATTTGATTTTATATAAGCATCTTAAAATTTATCATTTCTTCTATTACTACTAGTAATCTAAGCTAAAGAATCCTTAATTCTATCAATATTATTTCTAATTTTTTTCATACAACTTTTCACAATTAAATTAATAATGTGACATACACAAAGTTAGTGAAAAAACTTTAAATTGTCATAAAAAGGAAAATTTATTTGAAAAAAATATATAGCTTTACTATTAGCACTTGCATTATCTAACGTTAAACTTATCACTTTGTGAACAATATCATAATTTTCTAAAACTTCAATAATTTTATTATAAATTTATTGACCACTATGACCTACATCTATTAATCTCAATCTCAATAAAGATTTATTTAATTTATATTCATTATCAAAATAATGACTAGTCACACAAATATAATATTGTTTAGTTCTATCACTCCAAATATCGACGGTTAGAGCCACACTAACATGACAACTATGTATTTTATTTTTTAATTCTAATTTCATTTTTCCAAACAATTTTTTTAAATCATTTCTAATTGCAGTTTTAGAATAATTTTTAAATCATGGAAAAAATGAATTTTTAATAAATCTTTTAAAATATTTATCTTCAGCCATATTAATAGGTTGATTAGTTGCAGCAATATATAAAGCTAATTATTCCCTATATAAATCGGAATTATAACGCCAAGTAGTACTCATATTAGTTATTTGAGTTTGATTGGTTTCTCTATTTCCATGTTGATTCATATGTATATTAGCATGTCTTTTTAAAGTACTAGAACCATTACCTAGATCAGCTTTATAAATATTTCCACAATACTTGCATCTTGTTTTCTTCACTTGAACTCCATTTTCTGTCTCGTAAAACTTATCGAAATACACATAAAAGTCTTATATGTGCCTGTCGTCGATTCTGACTGCAATTGATGAACTCGCTTTTGCTTGAAATGGAGTTGGACGAGGATGACGATTACAAGGATGACTTCTAGAACCACCGAGAATTGTAGCAGCATGGGGAGGAAGCTGGGAATATTATGAAGTTATTAGATTTTGAGAATGAGAAAGCAAGACGATTTGAATCTACTGCATTTATGTTAGTAAATTTAGGGGGACTATGATAATTTTCTTCATCATTGAAATTGATGGGATAAAAATATATATCCATTCTAGTTTAAAAAAAAAAAAAACAAATTGGATATAGAAGAAATAAAGAATTAAAGAAGAAGAATTGGAATTTGGAAATATGAATTGAAATTTGTAAAAACTAATAAAAATTAAAATGAGAGCAAATTGACAAGAAAGAGATTGAGAGATTTTAATAGTGAGAATGAGAGAATTTGTGATGCGAGGAAATATGAGAATTTATACCTTATTTATAGAAAAAATGATAAAAAAAATGACCAAAAAGACCCATCAAACTATTATAAAATGGTTATATTTCAAAGGTAAAATGAGTTTTTGAAAAAAAAAAAAATCAACCCGCGGTCAACTTAATGGGTTGACCGTTGGGTCGCGAAGGTGGCCTATGAAGGCCCAGCTAGTCCAACGGAGTATACATAATCCAAAACCCAATTTGATGCAAACTGGATTAGGGTTGACCTGCCCTCCAAACATCCCGCAATGGATACATATCGTGACAAGACTCGAGGGTTTCCATCCTTGTAGATATGATTATTTTAATGTTATTTCTAAGAAAAGACTCCTTTTGTTCTGGTCAAATGCCTGCGTTGATTTCTAAAGATGATTTAAACTGGTGACAATGTCCTCATAAGTAGTTATCGCTGTCTTTAACACTTACTAGTTAGGAGGCCCTTATCATTTTCAAACTTGTACCTGAAAAGACACAACTTATAAATAGTTCAAATAAGACAATAATTAATGAATTAAGTGGGGTCAAGTTCAACTTTATATAAAGGTAAAGATGTAATTGAATAATTTAAATTATAAATTTTACATATAAATAATAAAAATTAAAAATTATCAAAATTAAACAAAAAAGATATATAGTTTTTCTTATTTTGTATTTTATTAAATTTTTTTGTTTCTTCAATTTCCTTAAAAAATTAGTTTTGTCCATTGGCTTTTAAAAAGTTTTTAAATTAGATTTTACGAACTTAATTCATTTTGGGAAAAAAGAAAAAAATACCAAAGGCATTCAAATTATTTGTTATTTTCTGTTAAAGTTAATTGCAAATAATAGTTAGATGTGTCTTAGTCGAATAATTTATAACTTATATTTTTTTGGGTAAGATAATTGTGACTACTCTTATCCTTACAACAACTTAAACCCAAGCCTCTTTGATCTTTTAACTACTCAATCCATCATTTTCTATAGTAAGTCCCTAAAAAGTTTATACCCTAATTGGTAATTTTCATTTTTACCTTTGCGGCAGTTCCCTCTAACACTTGTCACTGTTTTTATTCTTTGTCTAATTGCTAAAGCATAGATTTAATCCATAGACTCTTGCAACATGAGTCAACTGATGTCCAATTGAAAAATCTATATAAAATAAAATAATCCACAAGTTTGTCAATATACTATTCACACCAACACGTTTTATTTTCTCCCCTTTTACCATTTGCACTATTCTATGAATAGTTGGCGGTCGCCGTTAATTTTTGCGTGTTACAATTTTTTGNGACAAAATTAGATAATGTTCGAAGATTCTTCCAATTTTCCATTCCCAATGGCATCTCTACTAGATTTACTCCTTGGATATTAAGATGGCTTAGATTGATCAAATTTCCCATAGGAGGTAATTTTTTGATTAATCTACACCATCTTAGTTGCAAAACCTCTAAGTTGATTAATGAATTCATTGACTCAGGTAGGCTTGTAATAGCGGTGTTTGAAAGGCATAGGTACCTCAAATGTTTCAAATCTCCAATGGTATCAGGTAAACTGATGATTGGAGCACTCCTTAACATATAAAAATCACTCTTTAGCGACAACACCCTCAATTTTTTGAATTTTGGAAAAAAAATTGGAAAATCTATACCAGATGCAACATAGTTGACTTCAAAGATTGTCCTCAAGTTCACAGCTTCGTGAATTGCTTCAAATTTTGTGTAAGACAAGTGGTGAGTCGACAAGTGGCGAATCTTTTTTAATGCTTCTGATTGGTTGTTGATCCTCAATTCATCCTCCAATCTAAAACTTGTATCTCCAGAAGCCCATTTTGCTAGATCATTAACGAGATCATGCGTTACATAAGTAGAATGGGACATATTGCTTGCTTTCTGAAAAAGTGATCTTGATAACAGATCTTGAAAATATTCACCACCTACATCTTCTAATTCTTGATTGTATTTTGACTCTTGAATTAGACCTTCTGTCATCCACAAAAGGACAAGCTCCTCCTCTTTGAATTCATAATTCTTCGGAAAAATTGCACAATATGCAAAACATCTTTTAAGATGGGAAGGAAGATGGTGGTAGCTTAATTTTAGCACCATCGGAATCTCACTATGTTTACTTGAGTTCAACGTATCTTCCCATATTTTACTGTCTAAGATATCTTTCCACTTACTTTCTCTTTGCTCACAACGTAGAAGGCCACCAAGAGTCCTAGCAGCCAAGGGCAAGCCACTGCACTTTGAGGCTACTTTTTGACGAATATATTCCAAATTTGTAAATTTGGCAATATCTCTATTCTCGAATGCATGTTTGGCGAACACGGACCAGCAGTCTTCTTCCGATAAGAGCTCCACATTATGATGTTCAATGGATCCAGTCATTGTTGATACAACATTGAGGTTGCGTGTTGTAACAATTGTCCTACTCCCTGGTGCTCCTGCCATGAAGGGAGTTTTTAGGATTTCCCAGTTACCATAATCCTCATTCCAGACGTCATCCAAGACAAGCAAGAATTTTTTGCCAACTACTTGAGAACTTAGTTTAACTTGTAGTTGGTTAAGAGTCTCCACATCGGAAGACTTGGAAGTTATCTCCTCCAAAATTGCCTTGTAGATCTTTTGAACATCAAAATTATCATGATCCGAAACACAAACCCATACTTTTGGGTCAAAATCTTTCACTGCCTTGTCGTTGAACACTTCGCGAGCAAGTGTTGTTTTGCCAATTCCTCCTATTCCAACAATGGGTATTACATGAATGTTGGCATCACTTGGTTTATCCTGCAACATCATTTCAAGTAGTTTGGCTTTATCATCATCTCTACCAATAACAGCAGGTTCAAGTTGCAAGGATGTAGTTGGTAGTCTTTGTGGTACAGCAGTTGATGTCCCTCCAGCAATCTCTTTCAACCCAAGACAATCTCTTTGTTCACAAAGATCTTCCAAACGGTCAGTTATCTCTTCCATCTCCGACTCCATGTGACGGTTGGACATCAAAGAAGAGAGATAACCAGTAAAGCTGTTCGTTGGCTGGTCTGTAATCATCAATTTGCGCTCTGCAAGTTGAGTGGCATATTCATCCAGAATATCTTCTACATCATAAGCCAAGTCTTTTAGATCATTCAACCAGATTTTCACTGCCGGGTTGGTTAGTTGCTTCTCTTCTGCGTCGTTAAGTACTGCTTGAATCATCGATAACTTTTTCCTCCACTGCTTTATCACTGAATCTATCCCAGATTCACGTAGAAAGGACAGCAACCTACGATCCGCCAATCTGTCAAAAAACACCTGGAGGAACGCACCCAGAAACACCTCTCCCACTGCCATGATTCTGGTCGAGTCTGTGAAAGAAAAGAAAGGATTGTTAGAAGGAAGCGGCAGGCAAGAGAGAGTCATGACAATATCAACAAAACTGTCCAATAAACTATATTCTATTCCGGAGTAATATGATATACTAACACTTGATGATCGATCTTGTGGCCTAAAAAAGAAGACAAAAGGTAAAAAGCAAAAGAGAGATTTTAATTTTTTTTATCTAAAAAAGGGGACAACATATTTAACATGTTCTCTCAACTTCTCTTTTATGAAAACGAAAACGAAAATGTAAATTTCTTAAATTTTTAGAAAATCTAATTTTAGAAGTTGAGATGAAATTCTGGTGTTAACTTAATCAAATAAGTTTCACTGTATTATTAATGATTTCAAAAGTTAATTTCACTTTTATAATTTTCAACTTCTCTTTTATGCAAATGAAAAATAACAAAATATTTTTTTTTTTCCAACCAGTTCAAAATTAGGACATATTCATAAAATTATATGTCCTAAATTTTTTATGATTTAAAAATATTTCTAAAAAAAAGAAAAAAAGAAAGAGGGTGTTTATAATGAAAGTACTTGTAATGAAAGAGGGTGATAATAAACATTTGAGTACTTGTAATAATAAAAGTAAACATAAACATTTAAATACTTACACAATTAAGTAAATTGAAGCAGAGATTCCCACAGAATTTCAGAGCTAGAGCTAGAAAGGCTGAGCGAATATGAGAGAAATATAGACACAAATAACCATGAATGGTATCAAAATTAACGATAATGAATTTAAAGGGAAGAAGATGGACTCTGGTGTTTTCAGAAATGGTTAATAAAATTAATTAACCCTGTCTCACTCTATAACTACCCTTAGTCTTTATTTTTATAAATTAAAACTATAACCGCGTGGACTTTTGATGACATGATCCAAGAACAAGAAGTAACAAATTATTTGATCAGAACCTAGTATTAACCTTGTGCAAGGAAAAAAGAAATCTTAGATTTTTTGAGTTGTTGTTGTAGATCAGGAATTGATAAAGATTTTATGATTATCCTTATTATTATTTTATAATTGTTGACTCGTTAGATCACGAAATGATTGACTAATGCGAAAAAGAAATTTGTTTTTCTTAATTCCTGCCGTCCTGCAGCTGCCGGTATTGGATTGGATAATACCATCCACGTCTAAAGCTTCAAAAGATGACCAGTAACTTAACGCCGCTTTTTGGCAAAACATAAGACCTTGACTCCCCCACTGCCACTTGAAGACTTTGCGGTGCTTTTCTTGTCTGTTTTGAAGTTAGAAGAAGCGCCTTAAATATTACCTGACACATCAATGTTCGAAGTTTTAGGGCATTAACCTAAGCCATTATACAAATGTGTGATTTGTGTTCTAGTTAAAGTCTTACTATATGAAGCAGAGCTAACACCAACATATTCCTGCCATTTCTTGCGGCTTCACAGTGCCAATAGTAGAGGCTAACTCGTAGAAGAAGAACATCAAAAAAATTTTATAAAGCAAAAGTCGATTAGCAGATTTTTCAAAATTTGCCAATGATTAGTGTTAATGTGAAGCACAAAAAATGGCATCGTTGAACTTTAAGTTCAACGCTGTCGTTTTAAGTAGACTGCCATCAGCAGAGATCCTGACCATTGAAAGAATTCAGCATCTGACGGCCAGAGTTATCCCACCTCAAAACAGTATAGATCGAGTGATTCATTCTGCAGAAGTGGTAGTTGTTCATACTGTTCTTTAGTTTTAGAGAATCCTCTGTTAGGGTTGCTGTGAATCTCTTTGATAGGTTGTAATCTTGAGTGATTGGTTGTAATCATGGGTTGAGGGTTGAGTTTCCCTTGAGTCTTGAGAATCTGGGTGTAGTATTCTCATAGGAAAGGTTACAGTTTATTGTGAGAAAGAGTTTTGCAGTGTGTGAACTGATTGGGTGTAATTCTTGGTTGTATTGGTGTAGAAACTTAATCTTTAGTGCAGTGAGCCCCAAGTTTACTAGAGCTCACCGTGGATGTAGCTTATCCTATATTGGATAAGTGAACCACGGTAAAATCCGTGTTCTTGTGTTCTTTGATTCCTTTACAGTTTGATTGTGTGTGTTCTGTGTGTGGAATTGTGGATTGTTAGGTTATTAGATTTACAGATTATCCCTATAGTGGTATCAGAGCCATCAATTTAGAGTTTGTCGATTTTAGGGTTTACTGATTGAAATTAGGGTTTGATAAATTTTGGGGGTTTCTTGATTTAAAGATTCAGTGTAGTCTAGGGTTAGGAAATCTACGAAATTAAGTCCCTAATTTCTTGTGGTAATCAGAATCCGAGCGAAACTCTTGTTTTAGAATCTGTCTGTCAAAAATTTACCAAACACTATTCTTCTCTGTTTCACACAATGAGTACCACACGGGTTGAGATCGCGCACTATGACGGCAAAATCGATTTCAACACTTGGAAGAAGAAAATGAAGGCACTTCGGTCACATGACAAAGTGGCAGTCGCACTGGAGAAAGACCAGACCAAATGGCCAGAGGAAAAGCTGAAAAAGAAAGCCGAAATTGACGAGGAAGCATACAACCTTATCGTCATGAACCTTGCCGACAACATATTACGGAAGGTAGATGGTGTTGAGACACCGATAACTCTCTGGGGTAAGCTTGAATCTCTCTGTACAGTTCAATCTGTTCCTAATCTTGCTTATTTGAAATGTATACTGTTTTCGTATAAAATGGATAGTGCTAGGACCATAGAAGAAAACCTAGATGAGTTCTTGAAAATGACCCTTGTACTCAAGGGCATTGATCAAGAACTCAGTGAGTCTAGCTTAGCCATGATCCTTTTGAACTCCATTACCAAGGAATATCAGGTTGTCAAGAATGCTCTGCTTTACACTGGAATTGTCCCTAGTCTAGACCTAACTGCATCAGGATTGAAGGCTAGAGAACTAGAGCTTAGGGTTCACAAGAAAAACAACAGTACTTTGTTTGTAAAAGGAAAGGGAGATTCTAGGCAGTCTGAGGGTAATTCACAGTTTAATACTGGTTTTAGAAATAAAAAGAAGAGCAAGAATACTCATAAGATAAAAGGAGAAACAAGGAAATGTTTCTTCTGTAACAAGACTGGTCACCTGAAGAAAAATTGCTATGATTGGATTAGGAAACAAAAACAAAATAGTACAGAGAGCAATTTGGCCTCTAGTAAAAATGTTGTCCAAGAATCTGAAGTCTTGACTGTATCCAGGTATGAAAATATAGATGAATGGGTATTAGACTATGGGTGCTCATTTCATATGAGCCCCAATCGAGAGTGGTTTTAGGATTTTGAAGCTACTGAGTTAGAAACTATTTATATGGATAATAATAATGCCTGCAAGGTTCAGGGAATTAGGAGTATAGCTTTAAGACTTAATAATGGTAAATCTGTCAAATTAACTAGGGTGAGATACATACCAGAATTGAAAATAAATCTGATCTCCCTAGGCACATTAGATGAATCAGGTTGTTGCTATAAGGCTGAATATGGTTGCCTAAATGTGTATAAGAATAAGAACTTAGTCCTAAAAGGTGTCAAACGCAATGGCCTCTACATCCTGTGTGGTAATTACTATTCAAACTATGTTAATTCTACTCTGTTTACTACTAACCTTACTGTTACAGAAAAGTGGCACCTTAGAATGGGTCACATGAGTCAGAAAGAACTCAACATTTTAAGCCAGCAAGGTATGTTTGGTAAGAATCCTATTGACACTTTAAATTTCTATGAGACCTGTAGATTAGGTAAACAACACAGGGTGAGTTTCCAGAAAGGAACTCACCTGGCCACTAATTGCCTAGAATATCTTCATGCTGACTTGTGGGGGCCTGAAAAAACCAAAACACATGGTGGAAGCAGTTACTTTCTATCTATAGTTGATGACTATAGCAAAAAAGTTTGGGTTTACCTACTTAAGACCAAAGATGAGGCCTTTGCTAGGTTTAGAAGTTGGAAAGTGTTGGTAGAGAACCAAACTGATAAGAGAGTCAAATGTCTCAGAACAGACAACGGCTTAGAATTCTGTAATAGTGAGTTTGACCAATTTTGTAGTGACCAAGGGGTACTTAGACATACGATGGTGAGGAAGACACCACAACAAAATGGAGTTGCTGAGAGGATGAGTAGGACCTTATTAGAAAAGATTAGATGTTTACTGTTTACATCAGGTTTACCAAAATCTTTCTGGGGTGAGGCCCTTAACACTGTAACCTACATGGTTAATAGAAGTCCCTCAAGTGCTATTAATTTCATATGCCCAGAAGACAAATGGTCTAACAGGAAGCCCAACCTAGGTCATCTTAGAGCCTTTGGATGTGCTACTTATGCACACACCAATGAGGGAAAACTAGAACCTAGGTCATTAAAATGTGTATTCTTCTATGGGAAAGAGATGCGCCAGGGGTGAAAGTTATTATAAGTAGGGATGTAATCTTTAACGAGAATTTGTTTCCTAGTAGAACTTCTAATAATCCTGTAGGTTTCTCAACTAGTGAGAGTATTAGTCAAGATCAGCATCATGGGACACAAATTGAGGTGGAGCAGGTCAGAGTTCAAACTGAACTGGATAATCAAGAACAAACACCTGCAACATCAGATTTGGAACATGAATCAGAGGATGATCAAACTGAAAATTCAGATCAACCCCAACATGAGTTATTAGCACAATATCAACTCACCAGAGACAGAACTAGGAGAGAAATCAGGCCTCGTATAAGGTATTCGTATGCTGACTTAGTCTTTACTGCTTTGGTTACAGGTGCTGAAATCCAAAGAACTGAACCAGATAGCTATGATGAAGCTATAAGGTCCAGAGACAAGGATAAATGACAAGCTGCCATAGAAGAGGAGATGCACTCCTTGAAGGTAAATGAGACTTGGTCCCTACTACCCTGTCCAAAAAACTAGAAGCTTATTGACTGCAGATGGTTATACAAAGTAAAGGAAGGTATGACTCCCACTGATCCACCTAGATTTAAAGCTAGGCTTGTAGCAAAAGGCTACACCCAAAGGGAAGGGATTGATTTCAATGAAATCGTCTCCCCCATAGTCAAAAATAAGACTATTAGGATTATGCTATCTGTAGTTGCACACCTAAACCTAGAACTAGAGTAGTTAGATGTAAAAACTGCATTCCTGCATGGTAACTTAGATGAAAAAATCTTCATGAAATAGCCTATGGGATTTATTGATAGAAACTGCCCTGAGCATGTTTGCTTGCTGCATAAATCATTGTATGGGCTTAAACAAGCCCCTAGACAATGGTATAAAAGGTTTGACACCTTCATTACCAATATAGGATTCAAAAGAAGTGAATATGATAGTTGTTTTTACTATGACTTGAATGCTAGTATGCCTGTGTATTTACTACTTTATGTGGATGGCATGCTATTAATTAGTAAATCAAAAACCAGGATAAATGATTTAAAGTCTAGGCTGAATTCTGAGTTTGATATGAAGAAACTAGGGAGTGCTAAAAAGATCCTAGGGATAGTTATTGACAGAAAAAGAGAGGATTGTGAACTAAAACTTTAGCAGTCCTCCTACCTACTGAAACTGATATCCAGATTTGGAATGTCTAATTCCAAGTTAGTGTCCATGCCCTTAGCCAGCCACTTTACACTTTGTAAGACTCAATGTCTTAAGTCTGAAACTAAACTGATTAAAATGGAAACGATACCTTATGCTAATGTGATAGGATCAATCATGTACGCCATGATTAGCACCAGGCCTGACCTATATTATGCCATTTCACTACTTAGTCGTTTTATGTCTAATCCAGGTATAGAACACTGGAAAGCATTGAAATGGTTACTGAAATACATTAATAGTACAATATATGTTGGGTTGGAATATAAGAAAAGAGGAAATTCACTTGATCTTGTGGGATATGTAGATTTTGATTTTGCAGGAGACAGGGACACAAGAAATGTTAGGAAACGACTCGGTTGCGCAGCGGAAAACAAAAATTTACAACCACGGATCGTTCCTTAGAACCCAAAATCAAGGCACAGATTTTACAGTTTATACATAATAAGAATCTGCAGAAAAATAAATCCAAATGTTTAGATTCATACCCACGTTTGGAGGCTCCACCAATGTTGTCCCTGAATGTGTTTGCTACCGATCCAAGTGTAGGATCGAACCGTAGAGGTCCACACGAAGACAATCAACAAGAACCAATGAGGGATTTGCTAGATCCTCCTTGGCCTTAAGAAATCAAGAAGAAAAACAAAATGTATGTTTTTCAATGGAACAGTGAAAGGGGCGTGGGAGTGAGTGTAAAATGGGCTGCTGTGTGTTTTTATCAAAAGGCAAAATGAATTAATTTTAAATCACACAAACACTATTCCTTTTATAGGCAAACCAAGTTGCCCTATTCCCACATGGAATGGGCTTGGGCTCCAACCCAAACACCCCATGTTGCCAAACGCTCCCAATTTGATATTTTAATTTAATTCATCATTATCTTAATTAAAATCAATTAATATTTAATTAACATTTAACAATAATGATGATTTAATTAAATATGTGCGAACATACATTTAACCGTAATTTCACTTATTTAATTTTTAACAAATTAAATAAAAGGCTACGACCTCAGCAAATTTAATTGCACTGTGAAATTACCAAAATACCCTTTNTTAGATATATTGGGTTCACGTTCTTTATATATATATATATATATATATAAGATTCCATAAATATGTAGCATAAATGGGTTTAATTTATTAAAATGTAAATCAAATTCGAACAAGTCAAATAATAATTTTAAAAATTGGGGTCTCTAAAATTCTGAATTTTTTTTATTGGATATAAATTACATGTAGTTCTCATTTATACGTACAAATCATTGTAATTTTGTGAGTTGTATAGTTTTTAAATGCATGTAACTATTTGCTCAGTTTAATTAATTCACACTGAGATGGATGAAAACTCGGATGTTGTCATTTCATTTGGTTTTTGGTGGATAAATGATGGGATCTTGCCAATAATAGTATTTAATTGATGTAAATTGAGGGGCAAACCGATGAAGTTATTTTTTACCATTTGCAATTGCATGCAATTGCCTTCCAGTTATACAGTCCTTTAGATTAGACAACTGATGAAATTTTGTTATTTTTTGTGGTACTGAGACATCTGATTTTGATATACTCATGAAGGAGCGGAATACAACCGAAGTTTTACATGATGCAAGAAGTTTTACTTGTATAGTTGCGTAAATTTGATCTGAGAGGGCTGTTGGAAGCAATTTTCAACTTGTTTTTAATGTTGCTGGGTACTTGATTAACATTGTTTTGTTTAGTTTAATGATGCAATTGCAATTAGGTTCTATAATTTGATTTTAAATTTGATCATGCATTTAGGAACTTTGGAGCTTATGGAAATTTGATTTTAAAACTGAATGTGAATAAACTGATGCAATTACAGCTTGAGATGGAATAAGAATTCGAGTAGTTATTTGAGCTCGAATTCGAACTTTGATGCGAGAACAAATCCGAGCTCCTCCTCGAACTCTAACATAGCTTAGGTTACAAACGAATCGAACTCGAACACTCATCAATTTATCGAACTCGAATACAAACATGGTTTTCCTAGGCTCGACAAATTCGAACTCGAACTCAAACTATATCAAATTTTCATGAACCGAACACAAACCCGACGGTGTTCGGCTTAGCTCAACTCGTTTGTAGGCCTATTCTCACCACACTTCAACCATATATTTAATTATTTCAATTGCATCAATTATTTCTTTTTCTATATTATGTTTAGTACACTATAATATATTTATTTTAAACTACATTAATATACATCGATATTATATATTTAATAATGTTTTACTACCTTAATTTATATAGACTACAAGATTATACTAATAAATGAATATTAGATTATGGGAGAAAGGTTTTTCAATTCTTGAATAATTAATTTCAGTTGCACCATAAATTGTCACTTTAATTAATTTTCGGTTCATGCTAATTATAATTAATATGTATGAATTGATTTTCAAAGGAAGATAAATGGTAATTATAAGAGATATCTTTTATATAAAAAATTGTTTGGAGATTAAAATTGTTAATGCAAGTGTAAATTTGTCTCATAATCCCTGTTATTAGATGTTAATTATTAATCCAATTAAAAATATTAGTTCCATAATTATATGGAGGTCATATTGTTTACTTGATTTTAGTCTTGTACGGCTCTTTTATTTATTTATTTTTTTTTTTTTCCATTTTGGATTGTTTATTTTTATTGAAGTAAGCAAATAATTGAATGTGGAACTTAGATATGCCCATTTCTATCATCATTTTGCTAGATCTAAATTTCACTAAGGTTAATTTTTATTTTATTGTATAAACTACTAAAGAACTCATGAAGGAAAAATGTAAATGCGGAGTGGACTAGTCACAGTCACAGAGTCATGGCCAGAATTTGCATCCTTATGTTTCAAGGATAGAAGATGGTGGTGGGCTGATGTTGCTGCTGCTGGTACAAGGCTCGTAGCCTTCCAGTCTCCCTCTTCAATACCTCCTGCTCCACTGAACAAAGTCCGCACATGAATTAACCTTCTTACAAGTAATATTTCAGGCAAAAATATTCCCAAAAACTAATTCTAATATATGTCTGTGTGTGTGTGTGTGTGAATGATATTTAATATATGAAAATTAATATAAATATGAGATTCTTTTACTTTCGATAATAAACTAGTAGATAAAATAAAGTTGGGCCGGTCAGGGTGAAAACCCTGTAATAAGAGTTCATCCAGTTTCAATGAGTAAATGGCATTTTTGCCCTTGAGATTTTGAAAACGTATTACTTTGGTCCAATAAAAACTAAAGGAAAATAATACAGTTATCGAAGAATGCGCACAGAATTCATACACCAAATGACGTGGTGCCATCCTGATTGTCGATTAATTATGAATTTCTTTTTTTAAGAAAACAGGATGGCGTCACATAATTCGGTGCATGAATTCGATGTGCATTCTTCGGTAACTGTAGCATTGCTCAAACTGAAAAGGTCATTGTAATCCTTGTCAAACAGAGACTAGTGTGCTAATGCTTTCAAATTGAAATATCCATTTTACCCTCTTTTTTTTTTACTGGGAAGAATAATTATAGAATAAAAACATTAGAACTTTAGAGGTTAATAATAAAATTACAATGAAAAATGAATAAAAATTTATCAAAAACTGAAAACATTTTCACAACTAAAATTAAAGATTTAAAAAAAAAAAAAAAATCTCTACCTTCAAAAACAAAACTAAAATAAAATTCCCATATCAAATTTTATTATCCTCCGTTGTTTTTTTTAATTAAATTAAATTTTATATTTTTTAAAATTACAATGTTTCTTTTTTTAATTCCATTTTATTATTTTTGCAAAAGTATAAATTGCAACCATAACATCATACTCTTTATTTTTTTTCAACTCAGTAATCTGATGTTTGGGGTGAAAGTTGAGTCGAGTGGCTCGAGATCGACTCGTTAAATGCTCGACTCGGCTTGATAATAGTTGAATTGAGTTCGGGCTCAACGAGGCTCAACTACAGTATCGAGTTGAGTTTGAACACAGTGCTGATCAGCTCGAAAAGCTCACTAGCTTTAATGAGCTTGGGGGTGCGTTTGATAGTTTTGAAACTGATAGCGAGCCATAAAATTTTAGTTTTTAGAATTGTAAATCCATCCGTATTCAAATTATGCAAAAATCGAATTGGATTTGGGGATTAAAAATTAGAAAAATAAGGCTATAATTTAAAAACTCTCTCCTTCGCCGTTGCAGTGTCCTTCTCCGTTTGCCGTTGGGTCGCCGGTCACGGTTCTGCGTTCTCCTTCGTCTTGTCTCAGGCTCTCAGCGCAGGTACTTTGAAAACGAACTCTACTATTAGTTTTATGATTAATCTCGGTTTCAGTTCTTCTAGATTCAATGTTCACATATCTTCATCATACTCTCTTTATAATTGTTTCTTCTGGATCCTAATAAAACATTTTCAATGACCTCATAGCATCATCCTTCTAATCTCTGTTGCTGTCTCTTTGTTATTCTGTTTGTGCCTCCTTTAAACTCTGTTTCAAATACTTATAAAACAGGAAAATGGGATTCTACAAACTTTGATTTCAAGCAAGTGTGGCAATGTAGCAAAATAATTAATTTGTTTCTGGTTGTAATGGTGAATGTATTGTGTTCATTGAGCTGAATCTAATCTACGTTTTCTTGCTACGCTTTCTGGTCCATTTTGCCAAATACTTCACATTGTAAAGGAAAGGTCTATTTTCCTGTTAAATATCATTTAAGCTGGCTATTTTCCGGCATTTTGTTTCATTCTTCAATCTCAATGTAATTCAAAATATATCATGTAATTTCTTTTCAAAATGTTGTAATTTTGTTTGGGTAATTTTGTTACCCAAAGATTTGAGTGTTGTTGGTGTGATATAATAGAGTTTTAATTATTTGGATTGTGAGAGATTAAAGTCGTAATTTTCTTGCTAATATATATGATATATATGTGTGTGTGTGTGTATGTGTGGGTGTGTGTGTGTGTGATTTGATCATTTATTTATTGTTGTTGGTATGGTTTGTGCAGTTTTATAATCTTAATATGGAAAAATCAAGCCCTAAATTATGTTAAATTTGGATTTGCTCTTTATCTAAATTATGACTAGCACGAGGTCAAGCTCGAAAGCTCGATTAATTGAGCTCGAGTATCCCCTTAAGGTATCAACCAAACTCGAGCTCGAACTCAAACTCAGTACTGTAGCATTCAAGTCGAGTTCGAGCAGTTAGATACTCAACTCGGTTTCACCCCTAGTCTGACAGGGATTATAATGACTTTTTTCAGATTTTATTGGACCAAAGGTATTTTCTCCAAACCTCAGGGATGAAAATTTCATTCAACTCTTATTTCAAATGATACAATCAACCCAAAAGAGTTCAACAACTCAAATTAAGTAACTCAACTGACTCAATAGTGACATAGGCGCCAAGCGGGCGAACAAAACTTGTTGAACTTAGGGTTTTTGCCCCTTCTCTTTACTGCTTCATCATAAATCTTTGAGCAATGTAAGTTACTCCTTTCTTCCTTTTGTTTTACAGGGTTTCACTTCTTTCAATTGATAGTTGTATTAGGGTTCATATGAGTTAGGGCTTTGTTTATTTTGTCAAATATTGCGAGAACACGTTACACTATATTTATATAAGCAGTGAAATAGGAAATGAGTATTTGGTATCTATGGTTTTAGTTTGGAAAGATGTTGTTTTTCTTCTGTTCAGTGGTGAAAGATTGCATTTTGGTATTTTGGCCCCCTCGCTTTAAAACAGCCAGATTAAACGCAGACACAGAGACAGCCACCTGAAGGCTGAAAATTGTTATTTTATTTTTTAAAATTCTTTGATTTATATCTCTGCTTTTGTATGGTTTTTTTATTCTGTGAAGTGAAAATTTGTTACAGAAAATTGCCGCAAAGAGAATGCTTTTTAACTTTTTTATGGTTTTTGTCTTTGTGAATTAGATAGACAAACAAAATTAATATTGCTGGGGAATTGTATTTATTGTATCCATGTTCAGTATCAAAGAATTTTCAATCATCAATTTTTGTCCCGTTAAGGTATTAAATTAATTGATTGTTTGTATGGTTCCCTTAAGACATTAATTTAATCATAGCGGTCTTCGAGCTTCTATTGTGACAACTCAGATAAAGAGCTTGTTTTGTGAAGTGGAAACTAACCCTCAATTGTTCTATCCTGTCTCCACTTTCACATAGTTGATAGAGAAGGAATATGTAAGCTCTGAAGGACTTAGATTAGATGGTCGCGGCCCTAGCGAAGTATAAATCTCTTCTCTCGTTATTTGGTTCCTTTTATACTCATTTTTCCAATATTAAATTCATATTTGTTTTCACAATCCAATCCTAGATGAGGCAACTACAAGCCGAGATTGGTGTCGTTGCCAAAGTAGATGGGTAATTTACCACCTTTTCTTTTAATTATTTATTTCCAGATTAATTTCAATTTTTATTTACTTTGCCTTGCGATTTCTAGTTCTGCTATGTTTGAGATGGGTAACACAAAAGTCACTGCTGCTGTCTATGGCCCTAGAGAGGTCTCTCTCTCTCTCTCTCTCTCTCTGTGAATAGGGCAAAAGTGATCCTCATTCTGTAAGCAATTTACTGTTTTTTTCAGGTTCAAAATAGGAGCCAGCAAATTACTGACCAAGCACCAGTAAAATTCTCAGTAAAACTTCTAATGTCTTAATTTAAATAACTCTGATCATCCGTATTTGTGTATTTCTCAGGTGCGCTGTGAGTACAGCATGGCTAATTTTAGTATTGGAGATCGTATGAGAAAACCGAAGGTTGACAGGGTGGAACATATTCTTTATACTCTTTCATATGTTTTAAAATTTAATTTACAAGTATTCACATCAGTATACAAATTGCTTACATGTATTCAATTGGGTGGAAAATTGACTGTACATGCACCGGAATATGGATAAAGTTTGGCTTGTAATTTTTTAATCTGAGGTTCACTGGGTTATGCATAAATAATGGTTGATTTTAAAGGTTTTTGGAAAAAATATTCTAAAAAGAGTGAACTGTTACTTATGGAGGAATTGACATTTGTGTTTGTTTTGGAACTTGTTGTTAGCAATAAGTTTTAGAGCTTTTAGATGTATCTGTGATTTGTTTTGAACAATTACTTCACTTTTTGTACAACTTAATTGATGAATATTATTTTAGGAGTATATTTTGTTGTTTAACACATGACTGTTTTCATGGTACACCTAGGCGATCAACAGAGGTATCTCTTGTTATTAGTCAGACAATGGAAGCATGCATATTGACCAATTTAATGCCTCGTTCTCAGGTATGTTACAGATCACGGGGAACCCTTTCTAGTTCCTAAACAGGATTGGTTTTTTCTAAATACTTCTTTTTTGATTCTGCAGATAGATATTTTTGTACAAGTTCTACAAGCAGATGGAGGTAACTCATACCTCAGTATATGACCGTGCATTTATCTAATTTCTCCCCACCCCCTCCGGACCTCCCCCAAAAAAGGGCTCCTTGAGCTGAGCTAATGGAATGGAAACTGGAAAAAAATAATTTTAGATTTCATTGTACTTGGTTTATTAGTGAACTAGGGTGTATTTCATTAGTTAAAGGGGTAGTGTGGTTGCTCCATGTAGACTTTCTTTGTGGTTACCCTTGCCTCGCAAATGGTGATGGACTTGTAGACTACCATTTCTTTTACTTTTCTTTTTTCATTGAAAAAAGAAACATAAGCGGACATAAGAGCTGATCTATGTATATGAAAGAGGTTGAAGAGAGAAGTACAATTGACATATTCTCTTCAAGTTCTAAACTGGAGTAAATCTTTCAGATGTCTTATCCTGTCTCACCATGCCCTCTTTATTTGGGTCTCTCAAGTTCTTTGCCCCTTTTTCACCACCCTTAACTGGATTACCCCAAACTTGATCAGTTTTGGGGTGGCATTGACTATGCGAACATCATTTGCTACCCTCTATTGATAGGCAGCATAAATCGCTTAGGACTAGCAGTTTCATTTAATTCTAAACAGCTGCTAAAGCATTAGTGTTAGGGCTCATTATTTTCCATGAAAAAGAAGAAAGAATATGTTGTTGATTTGGGACTTGTTGTCTGCAGGAACTCGATCTGCATGTATTAATGCTGCAACATTAGCTCTTGCAGATGTTGGGATTCCAATGCGTGATATTGTTACTTCCTGTAGTGCTGGATACCTCAATAGTATTCCTCTTCTTGGTATTGTCATTTTCCTGATCCGCTTTTCTTGAAGCAGTATGATTTGTTTTTCGACTAGTTATTATATGGTATGGTATTAAATTTTGTACACTTGATTACCATACTGAAGATTTGTGATGTGGGCATATTTGAATTATGTTGAAGATAGTGCTGGAGGTCCTGATGTCACTGTAGGCATTCTACCTACATTGGACAAAGTTACTCTCCTTCAGGTTTTTGTCTCAAATTCTGCTTTCTTGTTTATGACTGTATCATATGTATGGAGTTGGGTTCATGTTTTGTCTTTATTAAACATTGCCTCTTTTGGTTTATATGAACTGTTGGGTTTCATTTATACAGCATGTGGTTGCAAAGAACTGAATGTTGATCCTTTATTGAAAGTTGTTTGACAAACTCCCAATCACAAACCCTGGTTCACATGGTGATCAAATAAAAGAAAGAAGGTGCTTCCATTATGCTACAATGGTTTAAAACCGTACCAGTTATTAGCATTTTTTTATCTTTTTCAGATGACGTGAAATTAAGTCTCTGCTAGAATCTTTCCTCTTTCTTTTGTCTGTAATTGGTTAATCTCTTTTGGCCAGATTTAGGCCTAAACCTTCTCTCTGGCTGTAATGTTAGATCTTTAAGGAATTTGGTATCCTTTGATGAATGGTTGATTTGTGTCGCTAGCTGGTTGTAAAATAATTTCAAACTAAAACAGAACATACTTCTATTAATCACAATTAGTTGAACAAGATATATCTGTTCTGGTTTAGGTTCTTTTGAACACTTTTGTCATTCTAGTTTCTGGCACTGTTTTGTATTGTTTTTGAAGTGTGGAATGTAATCTTAACTGTTGACTTTGTATCCTTTGTTTTTTGTACCGTTATTACCTCATCATTGAGGTTTATGTTGATTATCAGAGGTTCCAAGTTATTTGGAAAAAAATTTAGTCCTAGAGCTCTCATTTCTGATGTTTTCCTGACACAGATGGATGCTAAGTTACCAACCAATACATTTGAAGATGTCATGCAACTTGCTACTGAAGGCTGCAAGGCAGTAGCAAATTCTATTCGAGAAGTAAAAACTTCTTTTTTCTGTTCATAATTTTCCTTGTCCTTATTTTGTGAATTTAGTTTGATTGTCATCTGGGACCTGTGTTATAATTATTGCTAATGGAATTCTTATGTTTATTTGCTTCATTAATTCCCTAAACAACATACTTGATTATTAGTTGCATGAATTGTTAGGATTATTGATTGAATTGCTTGGCAGGTACTACTAGAGAATACCAAGCAGCTAGAGTGTCGCCGAGGTTCATAATTGATAATTACATTGGGTAAGTTAAAACCCCTTCTTCTTCTTCTCGTCTTTTTTTTTTGGGGGGGGGGGTGGGGGGGGGGGGGGGGGGGGGGGGGGGGGGGGGTGGGGGGGGGGGGGGTGGAATTTTTGATAAGCCAGAAACTCCGATTTGGAATTAAAAAGACGACAAGCGACTCATTGATTGCTGAGCTTGGTGTGAGAATTGAGATGGTGACTCTCAATTCCAACATGCTTGATAAGGAATGTAGGAAGAAGCAAAAGAACACATTTCATTCCTTTATTTAGATGCACAGCTTCTTTGGTACTATTTATTTTCTTAATACCTGCTTTTTCTTTCCAAAACAGAATCTATTAGGGAATCCATTGCGGTTCACGGGTCAAGCTTTCATTTCTGTGATTGGGAATGTTGAAAATAGAGAATTAGGTGATATGATTATAAATGGCTAACAAGTTGAATGTTTCTACTAAGCAGGTAATTTATTCGTGGATTCTGTAGACTGGCCTAGTCGTTCTTGGGCTTGGAATCGTACCATTTTTACAGGGTGATATAAAATCATTTATGGATTGAAGTGATATGTCTCCTTAATTCAACATTCGTCCCTTGCATGCACAGTGAGATCATAGCATTTTCCATGCATCCACCTTTCTTACTGGAAATTGTTTAGTTCATACTATTCTGTGGTTAAATTAACACCAGCAGCTCAGAAATTGTGCAAAACTGATTTTTAAGGGACTTAGAATAGCAATTTTTTTAATGTTATGACTATTCATTAGAAGATGTTAGTTCTTTTTCTCTCTTTTCTCTGCTTTCGTATGCATATTTTGGAAGAAAAATAGACGCCATGAAGAGGATCATGAATATCTTTCTCCTTGAATTCAAGCAATGCAGGTCAATCAGTTTCATCGTGTTTGAGCAGAGAATTGGCAGAGGCAAAGAAACCATAAGCTTGCAGGCTTGAAAAAGCATAAAAGCAAGAGAAAAAAGCTAACCGAGCAGAAAGCTATTGGACTCATTATTCCATTGTGAAATTAAGAAACTCAACTTGACAAGATTTCTTCACAGGCTCAGAACTTTAAGAGGCACTTACGAAATGCTACAAGTCATGTCATGTGCATAAAGAATTAAGGATGTGGGCTGCTACTAGGCAGACTTCCAGCTACTTTCGTTGTTCATTGTAAAAGGCTTTTGGATCTTTAATTAAGACCCCACTCTGGTCTGCTAATCAGTCCAATTCTGTGTGTGTTGGAAACTCGGAATTCTCCAACCGGTTCACACTTACCGACCCAACGCCATAAGTTCATTTAAAAGGGCTTTGTAGATCTTTAATTAGGACCATACTTTAGTCCTCAGATTCCAAGGAAAGTGGTTCATAATCATCTCTTTTATAAATATAATTGAAGGTTTTAGATCTAAATTTTGTGCCAATTCAGGATTTTGTGGAACTCTTAAAGATGGATTGTACGGTTTATTTGACTATGAAATATGAATACGTAAACCTATGGAATTTTTACTTTTTAGATCCAATTGCTGCTTCAGTTATGGGAAATTGCCTTCACTAAGTTGCAATGATTTGTATGAAGTATAAACTACCTCCTTTGAAAATGTTGTCAAAAGCCAGATAGACACACACTGTCAAACTAGTTTATGTTTTGACACTATATATTGGTTCATTATTTTTGAATTAAAATTTCTTTTTCTAAGAAAGATAGTTAACAACTTCTACTAAGATATGATCGTTCAATATAAGCTAAACCGTCATTTTCAATTACAATTCTCTAATTCTCACTGTTATTTCAATTATATGATCTTATGTATATAAAGTTATCAAAATCTCTATAAATGTTTATATCACAAATCAATAGTATTGATTATCAAGCTCACCACATAGTTAATACTTCTAAGATTCGGCACAATCAAACCACACGAACCTCAATCATCTTACATTTGAATTGATCTCTTCAGGGTGCACCCCATTTCAAAAATCAAACTTTTATCTCCAAACAAATAAATTTTATACATACAATTAGTGCAATAAACCTTCAAATTTTCAATGGACAGATATAAATTATTTTTTGTTAGATAATAATACTAGAATGAGTAAATTTGAAAAATCAACTTTATAAATACCCTATTAATATAAATAAGTGAGAACTATTTGCATACATAACCGTTTTATACGAAGTTATAAATCTCTGATAAATTTATATTTCCACACTAAAACTCTAATTTAAAGTTTTACGCCGGCAGCCGTATGTGATACTTAATTTGAATCCAACAATAAAGCAGTACTGAAGCTGGTTGTTTTAGACAAACTTTAATGTGTTAGGCTAAGATCGAAAATTGTTCTAGAAAAAGATTACTTTTATTATTGCACTTCATAACAGAATAATTCTTTATTTCAGAACTTGGTGTTTCAGTTACACTAACTTCAAAATCTTAAACTATACATGCTCCTGATTATGCTTAATGTTCATACACTACACTCCTTAATATAAATTTGAGCACTTACCTTCTAATGGCAAACAATGACAGTCTAGATTTATTTATTATATGAGTAAAAAATAAAATTACATCCATTAGAACATATTGCGAGTTGGACATTGTTTAACAAACCTTATTCTGAAGTTGTATCAGACATTTAATTATAAAACACAAGAAAATTACTCATAAAGTTACGGTAGTCTCTCACCCCGTCTTGGAGTTTGAAGAAGTTTGTTCTTGATAGGATGCAGCTGGTCTGTAACATCATTCATGTTCATCCTTTCACTCGGTGACCTTGAAGAACAAGTGACTCCAATTCCAAATATTGAAATCAAGCAATCCCGAATGTTGTGACTTCTCATGCTTGTATGTCCTTCTTCTGTTTCTAGAAGAAGAACTGGATCCACTATTTCAATGACTCGTTCAGGGATAGCTGCCTTCACAAAATTATGAAGATCCAAATCACCATTAAACATCTCATCGGTTGGCCTCTTCCCTGTGAACGTCTCCAATAAGAGTATGCCATAACTGTACACATCACCATAAGTTGAAACCTCGCTTCCCATACCATATTCTACAATTGGAAATATTATACATTTGTACAAAGAAACTCCCTATAAATAATATAGCTTAGCTTGTATAACCACATCATCTAAGGAATTTTTTAGGAGGTAAAAATGAGGAAAGAAATACAAGAGTCATATGAATTTCAAGGAATGATAAAATAGTTAAAAGTATTTACCTGGAGCAACATAACCAACAGTTCCTCTTACACCAATGGAGCTTGTTTGATTACTTGAAAGGTTATGGGTGCCCTCTGGAAGGAATCTTGCCAATCCAAAGTCACTTACATGTCCTGTCAACTCATCATCAAGAAGAACATTGCTTGGCTTGAGATCACAGTGAACCATTGGTGTTTGGCCATGGTTATGAAGATAATCCACTGCACAAGCAACATTTGTAGCAATATCAAGTCTCTGTAGAAAATTTAGATTCCTGGGCGCCTCTTGCAACACAACTGTAGTTAGATTGGGATGCAACCACTCCTTTAAGCTCCCATTAACCATAAACTCATAGACCAAAGCCTTGAAATCATTTCCTTGAAAATCAACACTTGCACAAGCGGTTATTATTTTGACAAGATTTCGATGTCTTATACTTCTTAAGGCTTCACATTCAGCCAAGAAACTCCTGGAAGCTCCTCGATGTTGAAGGTTAAGAACCTTCACTGCCACTGCCATTTCGTTATGGTCTAGGATTGCCTTATACACAACCAAAACTCCCCGAACCAATCAAATTTTCTGAAGAGAACCCAGCAGTTGCTTTCAATAGATTCTCATAAGACACTTGCAGAAATGAAGCTAACAATTGTGATGTAGAAGAGGAATTCTTTTTCGTTCTTCTCCACCAGCGAATAATTATCAAACATAACATCATAGTCAGCAACAAAATTCCAATAACTATAGGAATTATCACTGTTTTTGAAACATATCGAGTTTGCTTTGATCCTTTGATGGGACACTTGGATAAATGTAACTTGGTTATGCCACCACAAAGTTTAACGTTTCCCGCAAGTGAAATTGCACTTGCGTTGTTGAAGACTCCACCGATTGGTACTTCACCCTCGAAGTCATTGTCAGACAAATTTAAGTTCATAAAAAAGGGAAAGTTCACTAAAAATTTGGGTATTTGGCCAGACAAATTGTTGGATGAAAGATCAAGATAATCAATGCCTCTCAAAGAACTCAAGGATGATGGAATATTCCCTTGAAAGAAATTACCATTCATAAATAGTTTTTCCAGGCTAACACAATTGCCTAAACTGTCAGGAATTTTACCTGACAATTTATTCTCATATACAGCTAAAAAACCCAGATTTATTAAGTTACCAACATTTGAGGGCAGGGAACCAGTCAATTGGTTTACAGATAGATCAAGATATATTGACAAGGATGAGAGACCAGTTACTTCAGGGGGTATGGTACCACTTAGATTGTTATGAGAGAGATCTAATACTTCTAAATTAGTGCATCTCCCAAGACTTGAAGGAATGGTCCCCTGTAAGTTGTTTCTATCTAATCTGAATCTGGTTAACAATGTTAGATTGCCTAGAGAAGATGGTATATCCCCAGAGAACTTGTTCTCATGGACCAGCATAACATGTAGCTTTTGAAGATTCCCAATATTGCCAGGTATATGGCCCGTGAATCGGTTCCTTGATAGATATAAACGCTCCAAGTTAACAAGATTGCCTACTACTATTGGGATTTTTCCAAACATCTGATTGTTTTCAACTGATAGTCTTCTGAGTTGCGTCGACAAATTTCCTATAACATCCGGCAACATACCTCCAAATCTGTTACTACCAATACCCAGTAGCTCTAAGCTCGTAGCATTTTGCAAAGAATTGAGAAACCTCAAGTCATCTTCTTCCCCATATCCTAATTCATTCCTAGACATGGTAACCCACCGTAGTTTATGGAGGTTCTCCAACGTGGGTACATTTCCACTTAATCTATTTTCTGAAATTCCAAGAATCATTAGATTTGAGGCATTGGATATAGAAGGAGGAATGGGTCCAGTCAATTGGTTCATTGCGACATTTAACATTTCAAGGTTATGAAGAGTGAAGCCTGGGTCTAAGGGTAGACTCCCTTGAAGTTGGTTGTCCTCAAAACCGATATGCACAAGCGAAGATATGTTGTAGATTGAGGGAGGAATCGTACCTGATAGCTTATTTGATCCAAAAAAAATAACCTTGATCCTTTTCAACCGACCAAGTGTTGCTGGAATTCTTCCTTCAAATTGATTTCTATTTGCTGAAAGTATCTCAAGGGATGACAAATTGCCAAAGGAAGATGGCACTTCTCCTGACAGATTGTTGTAGAGTACATAGAGTCCATGGAGCTTTGATAAAGATCCAAGCTCCCTTGGAATTGTCCCTTCAAGCTTATTCTGGGAAATGGCAAGGACTTCAAGGTTGACACAACTTGATAAGTTTCTAGGAATTTTCCCTCCAAATGAATTGTTTTGGAGGTGTAAAATCTGTAACCTGAACAAATAACCAATCTCGCAAGGGATTTCATTGCGAAAACTATTATTATCGAGATCTAGAACTCTAAGAAAACTTAGATTGCCAATGGATGGTGATAGAGATCCCTCCAGTTTCTGTTGACGAAGATCTAATGTTGTGACCCTTTGGTGACGCTGACTGCATATAACACCCTTCCATTGGCAGAAGTGGATAGAATCATTTCATGAGCTCAAAACCTGGAGAGGATCATGAGAAATTTTAGCCTTGAATTCAAGCAAAGCAAGTTGATCAGTTTCATTGCCTCTGTGCACAAAACTGGCACAAGTAACTAAACAATGAGTTGGCAGGCTGGACCAACACAAAAGCAAGAAATAAAGGCTAACTGAGCAGAAAACTGTTCCACTTTGCATTGTACTGTAAAATCAAGAAATTCTACTTGACAAGATTGATTCGCAAGGTAGGAACTTATAGGCATTCTGGAGACACAACCTTCACGTATACGTTGATAGAAAATTAAGATGACGTAAGTGATTGTAAAAGGGGTTGTGGATCTTTAATTAAAACCTAGAACCACACTTAGTATAATATTCCATCCTTCAATCACGTTACATGTGTCAAGGTCATTCTCTACAATTTTAAATGAGCCATTACAAATTAACATTAAGAATCAACTCTAATATGAAGAGAAATGAGACGGCTCTCATGCATAAAGACAAACTGATGTAGGATTGTTGTTTCATTTATTTATTGTCTATAAATATGCCTAATGTGTATGTGGAAAGTTGACTTGATGATTGGTTAATAAGGTGTTTTTTCCTTTGAATCTCTGCAGAGCTTTCTTCTTTTTCCATTTTTTTTTTTTTTTAAAACTCCGGTCTCTAGAAAAGACAGGTCAAGTCTGATAACCCCATTTTCTCGATCAGAAACAAGTCTAGTCTGATAACACTAGTGTCACACGGCAGCCAGGAACAGTGTAGAATAATTGAATTCTATGTTCTAATTTCCTCCCCACACTACAAGGCAAGTGGTTCACCTCTTCATAAACATTATTGAGGGCTTTGGAAATAAATTTTGCTAACATTCAGGATTTCTTGAACTCTTTAGGATTGTACAGTTTATTTGACCAAAGGATGGGGAAAAGTACGCAGTTTTGAGGACTATTTAGTGCTTCAATTATAAGAAACTGCTCCTTCCAAGTTGCAATTACTTCTATGTATGCAAACTCATTTGAAAATGAAGTCTTTAGCTAGAGAAGCACGAACCATCAAACAAGCTATGACCCTAGATGGTCCACTACTGGTGACTTAGATTTTTATTGTCTGAAAAAGATATCTTAAATAATTCAGAACTCTCCACAAGAATATAAACGTTTATCACGAGTTAATTAGTCATTTTGAATAATACTCTTCTTCTCCTCCTCCTTATTTCAATTATATGATTTTATTGGTATGTAAAAGTATCAAGATGTAAATCAACGATTTCATCGCAGAGTATGGAGTATCTAACTCACCACATAATAATCATAAGAAAATTCAGCACGATAAAACCACACTGACCTCAATCTTCTTAGACTCGAATTGATCTCTTCTGGGAGCACCCCACATGTTGCAAAACTTATACAGAAGTAGACTTACATTATAACATCCGTCCAATTTGCCGTTGAAAGCATTTTGATAAATTTTCAACATCATTAAACTCTTTCATGTCACCAACTCAAACATTAAACAATATTTGGGCTTAAACAAGCGAACTCTAGATTTTATTACACTTCATAATTAATGAACAAGCATGTCTATACAAAAAAATTAATAAATAAAAAGTAAATCTACTATAACTACTCAACCCATTTCAATCACTAAACTTTTATCTCCAAACAAATAAGGTTCATACACACAAGTGCAGTAAACCTTCTCTGCATCTGCTATAGCTAATGCTGAAGCTAAGTCTCATGGTTCGTTTTGTCAGGCAGGCTTCACAAATGAGAAGTCATCTTCAAAAAATTTTAGACAACCGGTACAGTAAACTTTCACTGCATACACTACAGCCACCGCTGAAAGCTATATCATGGTTCTTTTGCCGGTGCAGGCTTCACGAACGAGAAGTCACTTTCATTGCTGGTTTGCTTCTCATAATGGAGTTCATTTATTTCAGTTGCTCCATCTTCATCATGATCCACTTTTATCATTAAGTTTCTTGTTGATGATGTGGGTGATAATGGATCAGCTTCAAGATCAGATGCCTCAATGTCCTCATAGGTATATGAGCGGTTTGAGTGGCCAGTAGTTTGGAAACGATGCAGTGAATGTGCTCTGGAGGTAAACAATGATGAAGGGGTTGCGCTTACACTTCCACCCTGGAATCGAGCAGGAGACTTTCCTCCCGTCTGCTTTTTTGCAGCCTTGTGCCAGTTCTTAAGGGCCTTGGATGTTTGTTCATCAAAGATCGATTTTTTCATGTGAGAACCCATCTGCAAGTATCCACCAGGGACTCATTTAGCTCACCATGTACAACTTATAAAATGAATAACATTAATATAGAAGGAAAAACAGAAAACAATGAGCCCTAATACTAATTTTTTTTCAGAAAATTGGTCAAGGATGTTTGAACAGAGTATATATACACTGGGGAATCTGAAATTGGAGATTACTTTTATCTTTTTCCAAAATATATTTCGTTACTTCTATGTTTTTTTGAGGTCTATTCCATCTTCTATATAAAATGAAAAACAAGCTTACCTGAGCAACAAGGGCATATAGTGGAAGTGTGATGTAACTGCACAGAATTAAAACCACAAGCCTGCAAAATGCCGACAAACATTCAGCCCACTTGATGTCAAGGTAACATAAAACTTTACTCCATCAACATAACTTTCAGGGCTTCAATAATATTCTAGGGCAAATATATTGTAAGAATGCTACATAAATTCATGGATGGTTGATTGGTTAACAAATAATGTCCTGACAAGATCTATCAAGTTTGTTGTAAGCATCTGCTTATAAGCAGCATTGTGCCATGTAAAGGGCACAATTGATGTTAGATTTAGTTCCCTATCACTGAGGAGAACAACATGGCTTACCCTAAAGAAACTTTTACAATTGCGAGCTTCAAATTAGCATGGAAGCAAGACTTCAACCCAAAAGAGTACTGCACAGAAAAGACTTCGTTATACCTCACTTGAGATACTTGCACTGAAGTAAACAGGACAAAATAAGCATGTACGATTCAATATTTAATAGACTAATTAGAAGATAAGGATTAATTACCCATATCCACACGAAATATGTGATCTGGAAAGCATTCTGCAAGCACCCCAAAAAGCACAAAAAGAAAGCAGTTAGAAAACAAATAAAAAGAAAGAAAAATGAAAGAAGATAGTTACCAGATGAAGTACAAAAATGTTAAGTAAAAGCATAACTTTAGACGTTGCCAATTGTGGTTGATTGATACCGAGAGAGAGTACTGGGATTATATAGCTATATCAATCAACCACAATGGCAACTTCTTCAGTCATTCTAGTAGAAGTTACCATTCTGCAGACTTTTATGCATGCAGAAGGTAATCTAGCTTAGTTTAGCACAAATTACAGGATGAACAAAAACCTTGAAACTTGAAACAATTATTTCATCTTTTGCACTCTTAACACATATATCAAAGATCTCATATCTTCAAAAGAGAAGGTTATTCAATACCTGAAATAAAGTGAAATGAATGAGATGAAGCACTAACTGAGGCCGACCAAACCAAAAGTATCGGTCTGAGCCTTGTACAAGTGGTATCCCTTGCACCACTGCATGTTTTTCTGTAATTTCAATAGCCATCTTTGTCAAAATGGATTGAAGCTCGGTTCCAATTGCTAAGATTATCTGGAATCAGTCAATCGATAGTTAGAATTTCAAAAATCTTCAAATTAATCTGGAATAAAGATCACTGAGACCAGATTTCTTACAATCAAGGGGATTAACGATGCCCAAAAAAGTGCTTGCCATCCTGAAAAGCATATAATATATTAATTGAGGTGACTAACTTCTAACTCAATTCAATACACAGAACATTTAGTTCAAAAGGACTTTTCCAGGAAAGATAGCTCACCATCTACGTTTAAAAGCAAGAAAACCACAAACGATGCCCACAACACAGGACTGCCAATAATACAAAAATAGGTAAGCATACAAACAAAACATATTCCAAATTATTTAGGCAAGAGTAGTACAAACAAGAAACTGTGAAATATAAAAAAAGAAGAAAAACAATATATGAAAAGAGCAGTACCTTACTCCCACTACTACCTTGAAGTCATCCTCTAATGATCTTTTAATATATTTCTGGAAGTCAAATTTACTTCCGGGAGCTAAATGGACCTATGAATGATATAGCATTGTCAGAAAGGAATGATATAACCAACTCTAAACAATTTAGATTGTATGACAGAAAGCTCACATTGATGAATCCATTTCGCAATGTCAAGTAGTCAGCCCTACTAACAGACCTGAAAAATTGTCGAAGGAAGCATCCCTGCAATAGAAAGAGATTCAGAAATTTAATATGGATCTAAAAGATTATATCACAATATATATTTACCTAACTCAATCCACTTGGAACTGACAAGATTTCCATTTCCTAGTTAAAATACTTACAATATAAAAGTAGAAAGGAATTCTTGTCCAAAAACTAGTGTGTGCTCTGACAAAAGATGTCTCATGACTAAGTCTGAATCTTGAAGGATCTGCATATTAACATAGACCTGGTTTAGCTTCGAAGATGATACACAAATCTAGGTATTCAGGTGTAACTTGGGAAATTCATGTTCAGAAACCCAAAAAAATAATTAATCAATTAAAAGATTTTCNCACTAAAATGGTTAATGACTTTAAACCCGACGCAGCGACTAGCGTAATAAATCAAGGCTAGCATTCGACTAAGCCTTTAAAACCGATAACACATATTTCAAACCAGAAACTTAAAGCTTAAAATTGAAAGTCAAATCTGAATAATTTATTGAATGCTCTCCAAAATGAAAAAATAGGTTTATATAGGGTGACAACCAACCCTAATAAGACTTCTAATAACAACAGGAAACAAAAACTAAATCAATTAAAACAAGAAAATTCGAAATAAAATAGGAAAAAACGCGTAATTAACTAAAACAGCCCGAAACATGCCAAAACAATGGATTTTGGCATCGAAAATGACCTCCAACCTTCCAAAACATGTTATACATCGGCAGGCTCGAAATAAACTTTCCAACGATATCTTACAAGCCTTGTAACTCTTCCTGAATCAAAAGTTATGGCTTTTTAAATTGGGCATGCTCATTTAGGCCCTTTGGGCTTTACGCACGGACTTCTGACGTTCAGCCCGCTCCATGAATTCATCTGCCAAACGTTCTGCATCAAAACCCAAAAAAAAGATAAAGATAATGCTAATTCCACTTTATGAAGACTTAATTGTATATGTAAATGACAATTTCAATAACAAAGTTCAAATTGCTTGTTTCATTCTACGGGAAATTTAACCTTAAATCTTCTAATAAAGATTTCAGATCAGTGTTTGATGATCCTCCTTCTTCAATAGCAGTCTTTGCCATCTCCTTCAGTGCCCTGGCTCAGTTTCCCATTTCTTCTGCTTCTTTACCAACCATTAACAGAGTCACTGCCTTCTTTATATCGTCCCTCTTTGCTATTGTCTCTTTAGCTTCAAAACATCTTGACCATTCCTGGGTTCCAATCGCCACTCCTATTTTAAGATGTTAGTGTGAAGCACAAAAACGATGTCGTTGAACTTTTAGTGCAATGCTGTCATTTTACACAGTTGGCTACAAAGAAAAAATCCTGACCATTGAAAGCATAGAGCATCTAATGGCCAGGTTCATCCCTCCTCAAAACAGAATGAAAACGCACTACTTACTCTGTTGCAGAACTAGTTTTACATATTGGTTTTTTAGATCTTTTTGTTCTCAGTTAGGGTCTGCTCTGTATCTCATTGTTTGATTGTAATCTTGGGTGGTTGTTTGTAATCATGTTTTAAGGGTTGTGTTTCCCTTGAGTCTTGAGGATCTGAGTATAGAATTCTCATAGGAAAGATTGCTGGTCATCGTGAGAGAGAGATTCGCAGTGTATGAGTGATTGGGTGTTGGATCTATTTGTATTTGTGTTGGATTAGGGTTTAGTGCAGAGAGCCCCTGAGTTTCTAGAGCTCAACGTGGATGTAGCTTATCCTATATTGGATAAGTGAACCATGGTCAAATCCGTGTTCTTGTTTCTTGATTCCGTTTATAGTTTTGATTGTGTGTGTTGAGTGTGGATTGTGGATTGTTAGGTTGTTAGATTTACAGATTATCTCTACAGTGGTATTAGAGCCATCAATTTAGGGTTTGTCGATTTTAGGGTTTATTGTTGAAATTAGGGCTTGATAAATTTTGGGGGTTTCTTGATTTCAAGATTCGGTGAAGTCTAGGGTTAGGAAATCTTCGAAACTTAGTCCCTAATTCCTTGTGGTAACCACAAATCCGAGTGAACCCTTTATTCTTCGAATCTGTCTGTCAAATTTACCAAACACCATTACTATCTGTTTCACATAATGAGTACCACACGGGTTGAAATCATGCACTATGATGGCAAAGTTGATTTCAACACTTGGAAGAAGAAAATGAAGGCACTCCTGTCACATAACAAAGTGGCAGTCGCACTAGAGAAGGACCAGACCAAATGGCCCAAGGAAAAGTTGAAAAAGAAAGCCGAAATTGACGAGGAAGCGTACAATCTTATCGTCATGAATCTGGCCGACAACGTGTTATGGAAGGTTGATGGTGTTAAGACACCGATAACTCTCTGGGGTAAGCTAGAATCACTCTATGCAGTTCAATCTGCTTATAATCTTGCTTATTTGAAAGGTATATTGTTTTCATATAAGATGGATAGTGCTAGTACCATAGAAGAGAACCTAGATGAGTTCTTGAAAATGACCCTTGTACTCAAGGGCACTGATCAAGAACTTAGTGAGTCTAGCTTAGCCATGATTCTTTTAAATTCAATTACCGAGGAATATCAGGTTGTCAAGAATGCCCTGCTTTCCACTAGAATTGTCCCTAGTCTAGACCTAATTACATCAGGATTGAAGGCTAGAGAACTAGAGCTTAGGGTCCAGAAGAAAAATAACAGTAGTCTGTTTGTAAAAGGAAAGGGAGATTCTAGACAATCTGGGGGTGGTTCTCAGTTTAATACTGGTTTTAGAAATAAAAAGAAAAACAAGAATACTTATAAGGCAAAAGGAGAAACAAGGAAATGTTTCTTCTGTAACAAGACTGGTCACCTGAGGAAAAATTGCTATGAGTGGATCAGGAAACAAAAACAAAGTAGTACAAAGAGCAATTTGGCCTCTAGTAAAAATGATGTCCAAGAATCAGAAGTCTTGACTATATCTAGGTCTGAAAATATAGATGAATGGGTGTTAGACTCTGGGTGCTCATTTCATATGAGCCCCAATAGAGAGTGGTTTCAGGAGTTTGAAGCTGGTGAGTTAGAGACAATGTACATGGGTAATAATAATGCCTGCAAGGTCCAAGGGATTGGGAGTATAGTTCTAAGTCTTAATAATGGTAAATCTGTCAAACTAACTAGGGTAAAGTATATACCAGAACTAAAAAGAAACCTAATCTCCCTAGGCACATTAGATGAATTAGGTTGCTACTATAAGGCTGAATATGGTTGCCTAAATGTGTATAAGAATAAGAATTTAGTCCTAAAAGGTGTCAAACGTAATGGCCTCTATATCCTGTGTGATAATTACAATTCGAATTATGTTAATTCTACCCTATTCACTACTAAACTTACTGTTACAGAAAAGTGGCACCTCAGAATTGATCACATGAGTCAAAAAGGACTCAACATTCTGAGCCAGCAAGGTATGTTTGGTAAGGATTCTATTGACACTTTAAATTTCTGTGAGACCTGTATATTAGGTAAGCAACACAGGGTGAGTTTTCAGAAAGGAACTCACCTGGCCACCAATGGCCTAGAATACCTTCATGCAGACTTATGGGGACCTGAAAAAACCAAAACACATGAGGGAAGTAGTTATTTTCTATCTATAATTGATGACTATAGCAGAAAAGTATGGGTTTATCTGCTTAAGACCAAAGATGAGGCCCTTGCTAGGTTTAAAAGTTGGAAAGTATTAGTAGAGAACCAAACTGATAAGAGAGTTAAAGCTCTCAAAACTGACAATGGCCTAGAATTCTGTAATAGTGAGTTTGACCAATTTTGTAGTGACCAAGGGATACTTAGACATAGGACTGTGAGAAAGACTCCATAACAAAATCGAGTCGCTAAGAGGATGAACAGGACCCTGTTAGAAAAGATTAGATGTCTATTGTTCACCTCAGGTTTACCAAAATCTTTTTGGGGTGAGGCCCTTAATACTGCAGCTTACTTGGTTAATAGGAGTCCCTCAAGTGCCATTAATTTCATATGTCCAGAAGAAAAATGGTCTAATAGGAAGCCCAACCTAGGTCACCTTAGAGCCTTTGGATGTGCTGCTTATGCACACACTAGTGAGGGAAAATTAGAACCTAGGTCTTTGAGTTACCAAGAGGGGACTAAAGGGTACAGGTTATGGGAAAGAGAGGCACCAGGGGTAAAAGTTATTATAAGCAGGGATGTAATCTTTAATAAAAATCTTTTTCCTTGTAGAATCTCTAATAATCCTGCAGGTACCTCAACCAGTGAGGAGATTAGTCAAGATCAGTATAATGGGACACAAATTGAGGTGGAGCAAGTCAGAGTTCAAACTAAACTGGAAAACCAAGAACTAACACCTGCAACCTCAAACTTGGAACATGAATCAGAGGATGATCAAACTGAAATTTCAGATCAGCCCCAACAGGAGTCATTGGCACAATATCAACTCACCAGAGACAGAACTAGGAGAGAAATCAGACCTCCTGCAAGATATTCATATGCTGACTTAGTTTTTACTGCTCTGGTTGCAGGTGTTGAAATCCAGAGAACTGAACCAGATAGCTACGTTGAAGCTATAAGGTCCAAAGACAGGGAGAAATGGCAAGCTGCCATGGAAGAGGAGATGCACTCTTTGAAGGTAAATGGGACTTGGTCCCTAGTACCTTGGCCTAAAAACCAGAAGCTCATTGCCTGCAGATGGTTGTATAAGGTAAAGGAAGGTATGATTTCTACTGACCCACCTAGATTTAAAGCTAGGCTTGTAGCAAAAGGCTACACCCAAAGGGAAGGGATTGATTTCAATGAAATCTTCTCCCCTGTAGTGAAATATAAAAACATTAGGATCATGCTATCTGTAGTTGCACATCTAAACCTAGAACTAGAGTAGTTAGATGTAAAAACTGCTTTCCTGCATGGTAACCTAGATGAAAAAGTCTTCATGAAACAGCCTATGGTATTTATTGATAGAAACTGCCTTGAACATGTTTGCCTGCTACATAAATCCTTATATGGACTTAAACAAGCCCCTAGACAATGGTATAAAAGGTTTGACACCTTCATTACTAGTATAGGATTCAAAAGAAGTAAATATGACAGTTGTTTCTATTATGATTTGAATGCTGGTTTGCCTGTGTATTTACTGTTTTATGTGGATGACATGCTGCTGATTAGTAAATCAAAAACTAGGATAAATGATTTGAAGTCTAAACTGAATTCTGAGTTTGACATGAAGAACTTAGGTAGTGCTAAAAAGATCCTAGGGATAGTCATTGACAGGAAAAGAGAGGACTGTGTACTAAAACTTTAGCAGTCCTCCTACCTATTGAAACTGATATCCAGATTTGGAATGTCAGACTCCAAGCCAGTATCCATGCCCTTAGCCAGCCATTTTATTAAGACACAAAGTCCCAAGACTAAAACTAAATTCATTAAAATGGAAAAAAATACCTTATGCCAATGTGATAGGTTCAATCATGTACGCCATGATTAGCACTAGGCCTGACCTATCTTATTCCATTTTACTTCTTAGTCGTTTTATGTCCAATCCAAGTATAGAACACTGGTCAGCCTTGAAATGGTTACTGAAATATATTAATAGTACAATATATGTTGGGTTGGAATACAAGAAAAGAGGAAATTCACTTGATCTTGTGGGATATGTAGACTCTGACTTTGCAGGAGATAGAGACACAAGAAAGTCTACCACCTCATACTACTTCACATTGGGAGGAAATTGCATAAGTTGGAAGTCCCA